TCTACCTTCAAATGTTCCTTTTTGGACAGAACCAGTTTCAACAAAACGACGATGAATATTAGAAAATGGTCGAATATCTGGCAGAGCACGATCGGGATATCTCTGGTGATAAATCCGTCTGGCTTGCTCACCATTACCGTCGACAAGGCCATGTACGTAATGCATGTCAGTCATTTCTGCATTTGAATATTTCACCATTATTAACAAGATTGTAAAAACTAAATAATGCAAAGATGTCACAGCGAACAGATTTGAATAACAGAGACTTGTCAGATGTCAAAAGCCAGTGACATATTCCAGAGCAACTAGATATTTATTGCTAAATTGCATTCTTCAATTATTACATTAATTTTCTCGGGCAATAAAACGGTTTTTATTTTTTTACACAAAAATGGCGCATCAAAGGAAAACAATTCAAGAAAGATCATTTGTTATAAATTGAACGGGAAATTCAAAAATAATTTTACCTTGGCAAAAAACCATTGACGTACCATCTTTTTCGTCTTCTGTGTCGTTTTGGAGGCACAGAAGACAGTCACAGCTAAGTGGTACACGGAACAGTGCCCGCCTAAAGTCATAGAGCTTATGAAAAACCTGCGGCCAAACACAAGAATGCACACTTGATACCTCCCCCATGACAACGTTCCAACTCACCGCGCCAAAGCCTGCACCGAGTATTTGACCACTACTGAACTGAAACTAGTTGAGCACCCTCCTTATATTCCAGATCTTGCTCCCTGCGACTTTGCACTGTTGCCGCGTGTGAAAGTCAAGCTAAAAGGAAAACGGTTCTCTAGCGATGAGGACCTTCTGAGGGCTTGGGGACAACGAGTGTGCCACACTCCCGAGAGAAACAGAGCTGGTTTTAGCCACATAAGTGGAAGTCCCCTTACTCAGTATAGCTCAAGTTTTTGTAGAAGAAGGTTGTGAACTACCATATGAAAAGTTTTGCTCACTTCTACAAATATTCCTAATGTTTTCTTATTCTTGTCCGTGTCATCCATGCTTCCATGCCTATTTCTATTTCATGACTCTATTAAACCAATAGAATCCTTTGTTATATAAACAGTAAATGAAACGTATGTGCTTTAACTTAGCGGCCAGACAATGGAGTCGTATCAACATAAAAATCACAAGATAAGTTTCAGGTGTTACGAGCCCCTTCCCACTTCAGTGGGCCCAACTATATAAATCTTAGCTTTTTTCTTATCAAACAAAAAATAATAAAAATGTAGCAGGGTGTTATAGGTTTAACATATTAACAATGAATATTTTGATAATATATAATAGAAAACACCAACTTTATCACTCCCTAATCAAATTTGCAGCATAAAAATAACACATGTTGCAATTACAGCATATCAACCTATTTTCATTTCAATGCAAAATAAGTCTATAACGCATAGGTGGCTGTGGAGAATAAAAGCCATGACAATTGTTTTTATTAATCACAGCTGTCAGAATACGTTTAAAATAGTTTTGGGTAGTTAAGGTTTTCAAAATGGGTAGAGGAAAGGTTATTAGTGAGGAAATTCGGTTACTGATAATTAAATCTTTTAATTCTGGGAAATCAAACTCAGAAATTGCAACTTTGTTAGACTTATCGTGGTACAGTGTGAGAAATATTGTTAGAAGATATAACGTAACCGGTCCAGTTAATATTAAGCCACGATATGTGAAAAAAAGTAATATCACAAATGCTGACCGAAGAGCATTAAGAAGAATAATCGTGAAAAACAGGCGTGCCAATTATTTACAATTAAGTGCTCTGTGGAGTGACGCTGTTGGAAGGAGAATTTCGAGGTCCACAACTCATAGAGAGACCCACAAACTGGGATTTAGCACTTGCAAGGTAAGTTTTCTTATAAAAAGAAGGTGAAATAAAAACCTTAAAGTTGCACAACTTGTTTATAGGCCAAAGGAAAGCCACTATTAACTCCACTGCAACAGAAAAATCGGCTTAGATGGGTTAAAGAACATAGACAATGGACATCTCAACAATGGTGTGCAATACAATGAAGTGATGAGGCCCGATTCGAAGTTTGTGTTGGTGACAGTCGCAGTAGAGTTATTCGCAAACAAAATGAAGCATTCCATGTTGACTGTCTGAAGAGAAAAGTGCAATTTCCAGCATCCATTATGGTCTGGGGCAGTATGTAATCAAAAGGAGTAGGAAAACTTCATTTTATTGATGTAAATGTGGATACAAACAAATATTTGGCAATTTTAGAAGATTCGCTTTTACCAGTGATGGAAGAATGTTTGACATCTGGCCAATATTTTGTGATTCAGCAAGATGGTGCAGCGTGCCATACCTCAAAATAAAATGGATGGAAGAAAATAATGTACCACTTTTGAAATGGGTTTCTAGCAGTCCAGATCTGTCACCTATTGAAACTTTGTGGCACGAGATGAAAAAGGCTCTACGACAACATCCTGCTCGTACAATCAACGAACTGAGACAAAAGCTTCAAGAAATATGGGATTGTTTTACACCAAATTTTTGCCAAAACATGGTTAACACTATGCCCCAAAGAATTTCAGCCGTAAGTGGCGTATCTCAGAGAATACGAAAATTGAGTTACGTCGATTTTGTTACTCAAAAAAGGTTGCTCTTCAATATCACGAAGTGGCATAAGTCAGTTTCTAATACCTTCAGAGTTATAGAAAAATAATATTAGACTTATCTCATTTTAATAGACTCAAGTTACGCCAATTTGTAAAATTATGAAATATACAGGTGGTTTTACACCGTATGGCTTATCTAAGTAAGATAGCCGTCACAGTTAACAAAACTACAAAAAAAAGAAAGGTCTCGAAGGCAAAAAAGCCGCAAATATTACCTTACAATCAAAGCAGTATTTAGTATGTATTGTTGCACACGTTAGGTGACTCGGAATGGACAATGAGAAGAATTAAATTCGAGTGGAATCGTTGAAGGAGCTGGAGTGGACAGAATCAGAATTTCTTATTGCGACAATGCTTTTATATGCTGTAGCTAAAACTTTGAATATAGAATATATCTCATTATACTATTTTGAGTCACTTCACTGTCAAAATGAAGGAGATTCTGCCCGCAGTGCAACAACAACAGCATTGTTCAGAGTAGGTGAAATTTTTATACCTGCCCAACTTCCTCCAGTCATTCGCTTGGCAACACGTAATCAGCCATACATTGTGCACGAACTTCAGCACAATGACTTATAGAATTTTAAAAAACGTCCCAAGAGTTGAGAATTTTGTCTATGAACCTCAGATTCAGGGAAGACTATAAAATGGCCCGATTTTATGGCAATAAAGGTTAAAAAACCTGAGCCGCTAACAATATTTTACAAAACTGGTCACCTGCAACACAAATACAGGTTTTTCAGATTAAAAAGACAAAGATCTAATTAAAAAGATGTTCCCCTCGAAGTTCTGTATGCAGAACCAAAAGAAATTACTGCGAAAAAAATATATGGATTTGAAGTCACTGTGTGAAGAAGATATACCGGTAGTTTGTGTAGAATACCAAAGATTCTATTTAAATCTTCCTCATGAGTAATAGATGAAATACTAATCCTCAGCCGTTTGGAGTGTTTTTTTTATTTTTTTTTTTTATTTTTAATGTATATATATATATTCATTTTGTATAAGTGCTCTAATAAACATTATTATTATTATTTTGTTCATCTTATTATCATATAATTATTGTTTGAGTGAATCTTTTGTTTGTGCTGCCATATTTACTTTTTTAGGGAGTTACATAGTTTTAGATACTGCGGATACTTATTTCGGCATAATAGTTATTCACTGATCCACTTTTTGTAACCATTTTGTCTTGTAATAGAATATTTTTTTAAATTTCATGTGTTTTTATTTTTCATCACTTTAATATAACACGGACGTAACTAAGTCTTTATTCTATGAATTACGACCGTTCAGTTTCAGAAAATGACGTATCTACATTTTTTTGGAAATTTTGAACACATCAAATGAGAAACGGGTTAATCGTTGCTCATTTTTGAAAAGCATGTAAACATGAGCAAATATACACACAAATTCAATTATGTAGCAATAATACCTTTTTGTCAGCAACAACTCAAAGCTCGTGAAAATATTTAAAACGCTCTCCTGTAAAATTGGAAAAAATGAGATACGCCACTTTGTGTTAGCGACGACGATTTGATGACGAGAAATACTACCGCACGTTTTTCAATTAGTAAAGAAACGTGCCATTCAAACGCGCCTACTTGGCAGCCCAGCAACAAATGGCAAAATATTATGGCTCTCAGATATTCATTGTAATTGCGTTTCCGTCAGTTCCACATTCATTCTTTCTGGGTAAGCTTCAAATGAGTTCGAAGTTACAGACACGTATACAGTTTTAAGAGAAATAATATTGCTGTCTTATATGAGGAAAAACGTATAACTCTGGACAGAGGCTTGAGCCCCAGAGCCTGCTTGCGTTTTTTTTAATGTTTGTAAAAATGGTGGATGTACAAACTCAGTTGCTGTAGCCAAGCTCACACTTTCACCGTATTTTCAATATACGTATACATTGTGGGCCCCTGGTAGAACTTTATTTTGCGAAACAATTAGTTGCCCATTTCTGTGGTCTTGAAGAGACCTGTCTTTAATTCATTCTCATACAATCATTGTGGTTCCACGTTAGAGAAACATTATTGCGGCTTCCTGAATTACTACGTCATTTGAACATAGAATTGAATCAATGTGTCTGAAAGACCAAGTCAATTAACTTGATTCAACTTACTCTGGCTAGACTTTTTATTATATTCGGGTATGAATAGAACATTGATTTACAGCAATGCGTGGGAAGTGAATCTTTAACATCGTTTCCTTTAACTATATTAATATCTATACCCAAAAAATATCTCCAAATTCACAGATAACTTACCGAACTTACGTATTATCTATCATTTAAATCGGAAATTAAAAAATTACATCTAATCAAGCATAAACACATTCAGCAGAGGGTACAGAAAATCAATATCTCTAACCTGTTGATTTTCGTTGCACTAAAGCAATCCGAAGATTGATTAAAGCTTTCTAAATCCAGAGATAATTCATCCAATAGTATAACTAGTTCGTTATTCTTCTGAAATATACTAAGAAAGGCATTAATCTAGAGAGAGAAGCTTACCTAGTATCTCATAAATAAGGGTTGCTTGTTCTAGTTAGACCACAAACGAACTGACAGGCCCGGTACCTTCGATTAAACGTCTTCACAGGACCGGCTTGGGCCTGCCACCAAAGGCGCAGTGCAGTGGCGTACCATCAAGGTAAACCTAGGCAATCCAAAAAATTGGGATCACTCGTGGAAGGACTTTTAATGTTTGGACTTCTTGAGTGCTAACGCGGAGATTCTCGGAAACTAGATTTTTTTTAGAAACGGACAGACTTGGAATAAAGGTCGCTCCAGCCACGTTTTTTAAAATTATTTTTTAAAGTAGCTACTCACTTGGCAAAAATCAAAAAAAAACAAAGTACGAAATTGAATGAAATCGACCCCCTATTTCAAAGTTAAGAATAGAATCTAATACATTTATTAGTCGTATGGATAGGTGAATCGTAGCGACGACCCCAGGGTGGGTGCACCAAAAACGGCAGTCACCCAAGAAAACGTCGATGCTGTGCGCAAACTCATCATTGAAGATAGACATGTGACATATCGCGAGATTGAGGCGTCCTTGAAAATTTCAAAGACCACAATTCAAAAAATTTTACATGAAGAATTAGGAGTAAGAAAATTAGTTTCTCGTTGGATACCCCACCTGTTAACTGAAGAGCAGAAAGCAGCCAGGGTTAATTTCTTGTCAAAAAACGCTTGACCGTTTCAATTCCGGAAACTCAAAAAATGTGTACAGCATTGTTAGTGGTGATGTATCGTGGATTTACTGTTATGAACCAGAAAATAAACGACAGTCGGCTGTTTGGGTGTACCAAGGTGAAGAAAAGCAAACAAAAGTCATCCGCTCTCGAAGTGTTTCGAAAGAGGTGGTCGCGACATTTGTGTCAAAAGCGGGTCATATTGCAACAAATCCTCTTAATGAGCAAAGAACTGTTACTGCGGATTGGTATACCACCATTTGTTTGCCAAAAGTCATCACCGAGCTTCGAAAAATCAACCCCGAAAGAAGTATCATCCTAGACCAAGACAATGCAAGCTCGCACACAGTCCAAAAAACAAGGCAGTATTTAACGGAAGAATGCGTGGAATTATTGGACCATCCTCCATATAGTCCCGATCTAAGTCCTAACGATTTCTTTACTTTCCCGAAAATTAAAAACAGACTGTGTGGTCAAAGGTTCCAGTCACCAGAAGAAGCAGTTGACGCATTCAAAAATGCCGTTTTGGACCTGCCAGCAAACGAGTGGAATAAGTGCTTCGAAAATTGGTTCGAGCGCATGCAGATGTGTATTAATCTTTGTGGAGAATACTTCGAAAAACAATAAAGTCATTTAAAAGTACCTGCCGGGTTGTTTTATTTCCATTTGCAAAACTTAAAAGACATCCCTCATATATTCAGTGCTCAAAAACTCGGTTAAAAATTAAAATTTTTGAGGTCTCCAAGTATCTAAATTAAACTTGATGCCTTGCTTTACAAGACCCTGATGGGTATTTTGAGGTTACTTTGTTTTAAAGGGATTCTTAACCTTGTCTTGTGTGCGAACTTTCAGTGTTCGCAGATTGCACGTTTGTTAACGACCACTTGCTAAGGTCTACTGTGTGATCTAGCCGCTTTTAGAAACAACGTCAACGGTTTTGTCATTTTCATTGACATTGATTTTCTCGCGAAGTACAAGGATCCTTAGCTACAATGGCCTATCGGCGAAATGCTTCTGTTTTCATTTATTCATCCAATTTGACCCGCCGCTGCCTGTTTTTGGGATACTGCGCATGAATCTTCCCCTTACCCCCCCCCCCTATTGGTATGCGACGTGGAAGGATAGCGGCGCCTGTCGGTCGATAAATTCTTTATTGGGGAAAAACTCATTTTCCATGAATGAACGAAGCAAAGTTTGTACACTGAGAGAACGTTATTTTATAGTTATCCTGGAGGATTTTCATTATCTGTAATCAACTTTTTAATTAAGCTAAGTAACAAATTATACGGCTCAATTATACTGAATTTTCTGAAATCAGTTTAATTCAAATATACTATTAAAGTAATTTGCTTGTAAATAGCATTTTATGTATCTGTATCATTAAACTTTTTAATTCGTTAAGGTAATTTAGTTTATGTAGAAAAGTTTAAATCAATACATTTTAACTAAAACAGTTAAGCTGAATAGCGGAATCGGCCCTTCATTTGTGATTGATCGTGAATATGCGACAGGCGCAGTGCCTGCTCAGTTTCATTTGTGATTTTTACTACCAGCTTCATATTAGAATGTTGTCGTTGTTGGTGTAGTGATGTGAAATGTGTTATAACCTATTTCTGGTAAACCAGACAAATAATTGGTAAAACTGGATCCCGTATATGAGTTCAAAATCAATGAAAATAAAAAATATCGAATTTTGTGGTTGTATTTGTTTTCCAATTTTTTTTATTTCTTAGATGGATGATATACATTAAAATGCAATTTGTTATTTTAAATTCAAAATATTATCCAAATATACAGGGTGTTCCTTAATGATATGCGAATATGTAAGGGTGCGAATCTACTTGAAATATTAATGTTAGTTTGCTTTATAAACTATGGTCCAAAAATCTTTCCTTACAAAAACTCGGGGTGTTGATGGAAATTAATTAATATTTTCAGAACCGCTTCCGATATTTCACTGATATTTAGTACGTAGTGAAAGTTAATAAAGTCGCATACTTTTCAATGCAAAAATTATTTTTAGCTTTAACAGTGGCGTGCGTAGGTGTATTGACTTCGATATTTTTTAAGAAAAAAATGGTATGCTAACGGTTTTTGGCCAAATAAAAATTATTTTTAAATTCCCCGTTTAATTTAAAACAAGTGATCTCTCTTGAATTGTTTTCCTTCGATGCGCCCTTTTTTGAGTAAAAAATAAAAACCGTTCTATTGTCCGAGAAAATTAATGTAATAATTGAAGAATGCAATTTAGCAATAAATATCTAGTTGCTCTGGAATATGTCACTGGCTTTTGACATCTGATAAGTCTGTTATTCAAATATGTTCGCTGTGACATCTTTTTCATTATCTAGTTTTTACAGTCTTGTTAATAAGGGTGAATTATTCAAATGCAGAAATGGCGGAAATGCATTACGTATATGGCCTTGCCGACGGTAATGGTGAGCAGGCCAGGCGGATTTATCACCAGAGATATCCCGATCGTGCTTTGCCGGATAGTCGAACCTTTTCTAATATTCATCGCCGTCTTGTTGAAACTGGTTGTGTCCGAAAAGGAACATCTGAAGGTAGACCTCTAACTGTGAGAACACCTGAAATTGATGAAGCAGTGCTGCACGAAGTCGAAGAACATCCTGAAACGAGTACGAGGAAGATCGCTAGACACTTAACTATTTGCAATCAAATTGTTTGGAGAATTTTAGTGGATTTTTTTGTTATATCCTTACCATATTTTATGAGTACAGGTATTACTTCCCATTGATTTTCAAGGCGTCTGATCTTTTGTCAGTGGTATCTTCAAAAAATTACACAAAATCCGCAATTTGATTCAATGATTCGGTTCACGGACGAAGCTAATTTTTCTCGAAATGCCATTCAGAATTTTTACAATAATCATTTGTGGGCAGAAGAAAATTCCTATGCCGTAACCGAAACCCATTTCCAAAACCAATTTTCGCTTAACGTATTGGCAGGAATTATTGGCAACCACTTTATTGGCCCATTCTTCTTGCCGGGACGACTAGACGGACAGACTTACCTCAATTTTCTGCAACAACAGTTGCCTTTGCTGCTTTATGATGTTCCGTTAGTAATAAGAAACAATATGTGGTACATGCATGATGGCGCACCAGCGCATTTCAGTGTAGCGGAAGGGCAATAACAATGAGAACAGTTCAGCGCCGAATAAAATCATAAAATCTTGTACTACCTCCGACCCCACAGCATTGTCGGCAACGATTGGTATGGAGTAGGGAGAGACTTGAATTGAATATGGAATGGAACTCAAGTCGTGTTCAGCGATTAATCGAGATCGAGGACACGTGGCGAAATATTCCATCGAACGGCGTATTCATCGCACTGTGGGTGTTAATGGAATGGGGTGTCATTGCTTACGGCAGCAGGTCACGATTAGTGTTCATTCGAGGTAGCATGACTGCCCAGCGCCATATCCACGAAATTTTGCAACCCATTGCAAGATGCACGGTTTCAGGACAATGCACGACCTCATGTCGCACGTGTTAGTTTAGACTTTTTAGAAGCGTCCGGAGTAAATCTGCTTCGCTGGCCTCCTCGATCTCCAGACCTTTCCCCCATCGAACATGTATGGAGCAGATGGCCTGGGATACAATATACCAAGAAGACATAAATCACCTAATCCAATCAAGGCCGCGACTACTTAACGAATGTGTCGTAGTAAACAGAGGAGCTTCAATAGTCAATACATTATTAACGTTGAGGTGGGATATCTCGGCTATTTTGCGAAATTTCGAGTTAAAATCTTAATCACTTTCTATTTATCAGTCGACCTAAAACTTGTAAAAATATGCTCAAAATTACAGCACTCCTAGTCGATGTCATTTAGTATACTCTTAAATCGAAATATAATAATGTAGCGTTTTTCTGGGTTCTTTTGGGTGTGCTTTAAAACACTGGATTCCACAAAGAGAAATGCACTAATTTATTTAACTTGATAGAACATTTATGTACACCACTATTTATGTCTGACTAATTCTTATGTCGCCATTGGCTCCACTATACTCCACTCCGCTCTGCTACTCTACCGTATTCAGTACTCTGCTTCCATCTCCCGGCCGCCGATTTATATATAGTCCTCATTGCTGCTTCGAGAAAGGTCTGGTGAACCACAAATCGGCATCTAAAATATTGGAGGTCACTTCGCGTCGATCTAGAAGGTGAGTCACTGTCACGGTCGCCAAGCGGCTTATGCGGTCGTGGTTCGCGTAAAAGCAGAGACCGGCCATGAAGCTCTGGCGAGTAGGAGACTCGCCCAACAGATGGCGCCAACAGTACTATTTGTCACAATAATATTCATTAAAACTAGGCAAATACTTTTACCCAAACTAATTAAACAAATTTAATAAATATAAGGGTGATTCTACAAAAAAATGGGTTTATTGGCGTAAACGCTGGTCTTGAGAGAGAAAAAAATCCATTGGCGTGAGATCTGGACACGGAATGTTCGCGGCCCAATACCGGTAATTTTGCTTGTTGACAAATCCACTTAAATGAAAATAAGCTTCATCAGAAAAGATAATGTTGTTCAAACTCTTAAACCGCTCTCACATTATACAGGATGTCCGCAAAGTTGGGGTTTTCCTTTTCAGTTTCAACTACGCTAATTTGTGGTGAAACATGAGCGAACAAGTCAATAAAAAAAATGAATAAGTACTCACTGTTCAGTTGAATTGAAATTGCAAGTACGGCTCCGTCGTAAAATCCGTATTTACATGGTAGTCATACGTCGTATAACTGTACGCTGGCGCTGATGCTGTGGACGTGATTGGGTGATAGGACAGGACCGGCTTCGGTTTGGTTCAGGTTTGATTGAGTTTGCGGAGCCCAATATCTCGGTTCTTTTAAGACAATTGTGTATATGCTACTAAGAAAATCCGCTAATTTTCTCAAGATCTACACGTCGTGTAAAAATAGATGGCGCTGCATATCGGTAGCCATCACAAAGTCCACCATTCTGAATGACTGCGTTGGACTGTTGATTTTAACAAATCCTGATATTATATAAATCCAAACAAAATAATTTTTTCATATTTAACCCCCTCACGAAAATTTAAGTTTTTTGATATTTGAAGATGCGAGCCCCGACCAAGGATATTCTTGGCTAATTAAATTTTGTGGTATCTGTGATAACACTTTACAAAGAACCGCCATCTATGGGATGGTAGCCCAACTGAACGCATTTTTTTGTCTAGTTGAAATGGCACAGAATTAGTTTAAAATCATTTAAGAAACGTATATAGATTAATATATTTTTTATTCGGCTACTCTCCAAGTAGGCCTCGATACCAACTTGACGTTTCTTGGAAGATCGTTTGTCAAAGTTATGTGTTGTTATCGTTACTGCTACCATTTTCTAAGATATTAAAAAAATGTTTTTTATTTTTAAACTTCAACACTTTTTAATGAAGCCTTAGAGGAAAAAATGTTACACAGAAAACCCGCACGGGTATCATGTAAAAAACCTATAAAACGTCAAAAAAGACCTATAAGATGTCATCTTGCAAACTAGGTAGTTTTTAGGGCGCAGTCATTCCACGTTTGCTCACTAGGATCGTTGTGAACGTCCATCTATGGAGGAATCACTCAACTAAACTACACGCATTATTGGTTGCATAGTTTTCTGAGGCTGAGTGATCCGTGTCTGTAGTTTTTAACTCTGAGAAGAAAGTTGGTTGAATAGCAAGATCGCATCTGGATGATTATGTCTATTGGTCTGCATGAGTATGAAATCAGTGATATTTGCTGTGTGAGAAAATTATCATTGAATATGCTGAATATGACGGGTTACTTATATGTTGTGCTTTCTGAATAAATGTTATGTTCAAAGTTATAAACTACGAAAAACTAAGGAGAATTACGGGAAATCATCACCTCGCCCGCGTTGTATGTAATTACTGTTAGCATGTATATGGCTTGTACTTTGCCAGTGTACAGTGAATATAATTATTTCTGATCTCTCTCATTTTTTAAATTCAGCAAATTTGTATATGTAATTTCCAGAATGTATACGAAAAAGTGTCTGCGCAAATAATTTCTAGCTTTGAATCTCGATTGAGTATATGTGAGACAAGATTCCAATGGAATTGTCATCAACACATACAACTTACAGCTTAGACCTCCAGTAATGCCACCTCTGCAGCAGATTTTACATAACATCAGAGCCAAACATTATAACTAAAGCCTCATGACGTTTAGACAACACGTACAACTAAGTGCTAAGTTAACATCTTGTAGAAAAACCTACATAATGTCAAAAAAACAGCATAATGTCAAAAAAATCGGCATAATGTCACTTTTCAAGATACGTGATACCCGTGCCGGTCCTGTGTATGATGTTTCATTTTTGGTCACGACTTGTGAATCACCCTGTATGTTCTGTTCTTTTACAGAGACTTGCCTTTCGGCAAGGGCAATACAGCACCTATGAAGCAAGGCAAATGGCCATCGTTCAACGCCTGTACTCCTCCGTGGATGCTGAAGAACCAGTTATCGATGACACTGATCTCTCTGATGTTGATTTGGACGGAAAAGACGCCATGGTTTATGCCAAATGTCCAGTGCAGCAAACTCATTTGGGTGAGCTTTCATTTACCTAAATACAATATACGCACGACACATAGGATTTTCGCAGGCCAGTGAAGTTTTCTGAAAGTTAGCCATTCTGAGTCTTTCGTCAGTTACATTTCCAATATGACAAGTTACAGGCTCAAGCGCTAGATATCTGACGAATCCGGCGCTTTCCCATAAACCTGCGCATTTATCCAGCCCGTCCAAAAAAAAGGATCTAAGACCGACCCTTATAAGTAAGTTAATGTATAGTGTATTTACACCCAAGAATGGATGCGTGATTGCCAAAAGCAAGGACGGCGTACAGGGCCGCATTCAGGGCTACCTCCGAATGATGGACTATCACCAACGTGTTGTAAATCAAAGATGACAATAGTTAACAGAAACAAAAACTTAACAATTTACTCAAATACACTTATCAACAACAACAGCAACAACCAAGCAAGGTGAATACGAAAACACGAGCACGCAGTGATACACGCGACGGACGGTGGCCTGAGTGCAATTCTGCCTGCCCTGCCCCTGCCCCGCGCATTATTCCGCCAGGCGACCGCTCGAAATTTAATGGCGAATTGACCAATAAGAGGCGTTGTCCCCACCTGTTACCGAGAGATCACGTGCTAACTGTTATTATTTACATCTTGAATTTGGATTCAGTTTAGAGGTGCATAAATCGGGAGCTTCTGGAGAACCTTGAACGTCACGGCGTGACTAGCGACAGGCAGTATGGCACATATCATTGTCCTTCTTTCTTGTACGACGAACCCGATCCACAGCTTTGCTGATGACAGCACTCTACATGCAGGAGTTCAAAGTACCTAACTAGCCGGTCTCTGCTGGTGAGCTGAAAAAAAAGAAGACTATAATAGAGTACCAAAATTGATGACAGTAGCGAAACTCATCGTACGCCACTGCTATTACGCGGAGGCCTTCGAAAATGCGGCGCTTCTTTGTGAAATGTCGGCAAAAGGTACCGCGTCAAAGCAGTGGCGCACAATGACTTCTGACTTGCCCTCAGAGCTCTCTGCCACACGATGTGCCTGCCGGACAGACCCGCCTGACTTCGGCCACCAATCCTCACCTGTCAAACTTACATCCATAACTGGCCGATTCGTCCGCTCATTTCGCTCTAGGGTATCGAGATGCCTAATGAGGCATTTTTCTATTCTACTAACCTTATGCAGTTCGGATTAACAAAGTTTCTTTTAGCTCCTCTCAGCTGCCACGTTGCCCTGGTATTTTGGCTTCTGCCTACGCGGCTGCTTCTGTATAAAAAACATGCTGCTCAACAACGTGCATCTTGTTTAAATGAAAACGCACCTGGCTGATAACATGCTTCCGCCATATTTACTTATATATCTAAAACATCTTGTTCGTACAAAAGTATCGAGAACATGTTGCAAATTGACATTTCCGAGGTGCAGGTTGCGAATGCAGCATGTTGCTATACAAATTTCTTGTACCTTAAGACTATTTCCTTTTTTAATTTCAGGTTTAGCTGTGTGGTGCAACCCGGATGGTCCGATCAGTTTTGTATGTTTGATTTTGAGTTTCTTTTGTAAATTATATTTACTGTGTTTTATATGTTTGAAAGTTTCTTTGTTAAATTTAATCATTCAGTACATTTGACTGCTTCGTTCTGTCATTTTGGATTTATATGTTTTGTGATATGAGATGTATGTCTAGATTAATGTTCGACTTGTAATTTTCAATAAATACGTTTTTATAAATTAGACTTTTATTTCATTCACATATAGCTGGATATGCAGAACAACTATGGGCGAGCCCAACTGAACGAATATTTTTTGTCTGTTTGAAAATGCGCATAATTAGCAAAAAAATCATTCACGAAAGGTATACGGATGAAAATATTTTTTTTATTCGGCTACTCTCCAATAGATGGCGCTGCATATCGGTAGTCCACCAATTTGAATGACTACCTTGGGCTGTTGAAATCCGTCCAGTAAGCCGCAATGCATAGACGAAGGAGGACGCTTTGTTTTACAACAAAGACAAAACAATACGTAATAACAGATATAATAAACTATGAAAAAAAATCGTTCAGTTGGGCTACTATCCCATAGATGGCGCTTTTTTGTGAAGTGTTATCACAGACCACACAAAATTTAACTAGTCAAATCCTTTAGGGGCGGTCGGTCGGGGTTCGGGATGGGTTTATGGCAACGCATCCTCAAAGATCAAGAAACTTAAATTTCCGTGAGGGGGGTTAAAATCCCCCCATTTTTTGATGAAAAGATTATTTTGATTGGATTACTTTATTATATTCTATTACGTATTGGATTTGGCTTTGTTAAAAAACAAAGCGTCCTCCTCCTAGCATGCATTGGGGTTTACTGAACTGATTTTGGCAGCCCAAGGTAGTCATCCAAAATGGTGGACTTTGTGGCGGCTACCGATATGCAGCGCCATCTATTAGAGAGTAGCCGAATAAAAAATAGATTCATCCGTATACCCTTCTTAAATGCTTTTAAGCTAATTCGGTACATTTTCAACTAGATAAGTATTAAAACTGTAAAAACTCTTAAAATACTATACTCAAAAAATCCTACTAAATACGAATTTATGACGGCGCCATCGAAGATCGCGGAACTGAACATATAACTACTAAGGTGACGTCACAAATACAGATTTCTGCTCATCTCGAGGGTTATCGTTGAATAAAAATTCGTTCATAGAAGTAGCCACACTGTGACAGCATCAAATGCAAATTGCCAACCAGCGGGCTGCTCTCATTCCCGAATTTGTTATTGCTACTAGTTCTTCGGTAGCCTTCTATACCTGTAAATAATTTTCCATCTATTAAATTCTACATCCTAGGAGTCAACTGCTTCGCATAATATGTCCGTTTATAGTAAGGTACGACGTTTTGAGTACGTGGTTTATCATTTCTAGTTAGTTGACTAGAGATTATGAAACCCATCAGTATTATACACAGTGTTTCAAATTCGACCCTCGCCATTGGGATCTTGGAAACTGAAAGGGGGCAAAGTTGCGTATTTAAGTAATCAACAAAATGTCATTTCAAATAAAAATTCCGTGTGCCTGAAGAAAATGTACCGAACGTATTTTTCAGACAACCATCGTATTAGATCTTGGCCTATCGCCCGTTTCCCGCTTGACGTCGACTTCCGGCACACCCTGTATAGTATCTAAATCTAGCCTCCTGTAATGTTATTACAAATTAAAAAACATTAATTATTATTATTTGTTGGAAAGAATCTAACATCGACTTGCATAGCAAGTTGTTATAAAAAATCTATCTGAAGACATTCAGACAAAAAGTGTGCTATTTCGTAGGCTATCATAAGCAAAATGTCATCTAGCACCTAGTCTATTCGACGGCTATGTAGTAAGCAAAAGGGAGTGGTGCATACACAGTTGCTGTGAGCCTGGTTGCCTACAGGTAATCTCCATTGGTTAAGGTTGCTAGATACATGGTGGCCCAACAACACGGAAAACTTGTTTGTATTTTATACGCGAATATTTTGAAATTAAACCTGTACAGAGTGCTGCGTAACTTTGTAATATAGCAAGCATATTCTCAAATAGGGCACTATACACCATACACCGTGTTCCACAAGAAACTGCGGCGACTATTATTCTCGAGCTTATTTGAATATTAGCAAAAAGGAAAAGAAATCGCACAAATATTTTTTTTTCTAATGGAAATCTGCTTTTTTCATCCTTATCAAATTTTGAATTGGAAATATGTTTTTTTAAACTTGTCCCAGATTTCGTGTTTCTTGCTATATTTAAATAGCTATCATAAAATAAGTTCAAAATTTTAACAAATAGTGAAATGACTTTTTTATATACAGAAGCAGCCACGCAGGCAGAAGCCTGGACACCGCGGCTGCTATGATGGCCCCAAAGAAATTTTGTTATTCCGATTTTTGAACTTCACAAGGTTAGTAGAACTGAGAAAAGCTTCCTCTTGTAGATTGTTCCACAATCTCGACTCCCTCGGGACAAACGAGCGGTCGTATCGGCCAGTTCTGGATGTACGAAGTTGGACACGGTTAGGATGGGAGGCCAATCAGGCGGGTCTGCCTGGCAGGCACATCGCGCGGTGACATCATGGAAGAGATGAAAACACCAAACTCTAATATCATGACTAAGTCACCCATTTACATTATGTACTCCAGCTTTAACGCTATAGCAGATAATTAATAATAGTTAACGTCTTTTACCTAGCATATATCAAGATATGCTAGGTAAATTCAGTGAATTTTTCAAGAAACTTATCAGGCTATTATTTTTGTTAAAGATGTAATCTACCCCTTTGCTTCAATTACATTGTCCTAAAAGTGGATTGTGATAAATCTATGAGTATATTATTATATTATTATCTACAATTTTGCATTTGCAAGTAAAAAAAGTCCAGTATGGAGCCCATAAGAAAAAAATTCTTGATATACAAAAAAGGAAACATCAAATTGATAAGATAGAAACGTATCTTGTAGAGGGGAAAAAGTGGAAATTATAATGTGCATTTTATTTTGAAATCCACTTTAAATAAAGTTAGGCTAAAATAACAATGTTGGAAACACCGTTTTTTTTTTGTCTATCGAATTTGAAACACCCGATATGGACAATTTGGCGCTTTTACATAAAAATGGGAAAAACACGTTTTAGTGGATTTTGACGGAATAAAAAGCATAAAATCAATAGAACTTATTTATTTGGGTAATGGATGTATATTTACATAATTATATAATCATTACACGCCTAATACGTCTTTATTTTCGACAAAATAACAGCACTATTTGAAAAATTGTATTAAAAAAGATATATAATTTTACAAGTTGCACATGTTAAAAAGAGTATAAACAAAAACAAGAGAGCTAACAAAAATGTAGATACATACTACAATTTTTAATGGTTTATTAAGTAGCACTAGCACAAAGTATTAACAGTACATGTCTTAACATCCAATTCGATAGATTTACAAAAATTACTAAGGTATTTTATGGTCAGAATACTTTCAATCAGTCAAATCTACACATAATAGGTTAAGTAGATGAATGGCGAGCAAAAATCTGAGAGATGATTTTTGAAAATCTGGACGAAACAATTTTAATTTTATGTATGTGCGATAATATGTATTTGTTGGTATAAACCAAATTGATGGAATTTGCAAAAATTAAAGACAAGTGCACAGGTAATTGAGTGCTTTTAAGCGTTATCTCCAAGATAGAGGATACAAACAAATAATCTGAAAAACATTTTATCATTACATTTTGGAAACTTTAATACTGAAAAAATGTATTATATTTTGGAAGAAGTATGGATACGTAAGTATAGTCTGGTAATTATCCAAAGTGTCTTTGATGTCAAAACATCTGGCAGCGCTACTTTTCTCCATTTTTATGTCTCTTGAGAAAACGCGCGAAGGAAGGAATTTGAGATGTTAAAGTTTCTAGATTGTCTACATTTGCAGCTCTTGAAATTCAGGCAGGAGTTTTACGGATACCAAACAATGCCAGAACGTCTTCGAAAATGGTTTTTCTACGTTTTTTTGAGTTAGGGGAGCTTTTTTACACCGAAGCCGTCGCACAGGCAGAATGATCCCAGAGAAACTTTGTTAATCCGATTTTTGAACTGCCTAAGGAAAGTAGAACGGGGAAAAGCCTCCTATTGTGGATTGTTCCTCAAGCTCGACCCCCTAGGAATAAAAGAGCAGTCATATCGGCCAGTTCTGGATGGGAGACGGAAGTCAGGCGGGTCTGTTAGAGAAGAGTCATCGATCAGTTGGACAGCCCTCGTCTGGAAAGCATCAAGCTACGAAGTTCCGATATAAAAAACAAGGTTTTAGATTTTTGAGGACTTTTATATGTAGTCAAGAGTTTCTTTGATGAGAATTTAAAAGAATTCCAGACTTTTTTCGACCTACTGATTTCTTTGGGCGATAGTCAAAAAATCTTTAATGTCAAAATAAATACCTACTCCAAGAATACCGTGAAAATAAAGCATCCAGAGGTGAACTCCGTTCTGGACAGCATAAAAAGGTATGTTTGAAATGGAGTACTATCCATATGGTAAGTGTATCAATAAGCAGCTTTTATTATATTAGTTCTATCACTCCAAATTTTTCTTACTTGGGCGAGTGTGGTATGTGCAACTATGTCATTGAACCCCGTAAAATTGGCCTTCAAATATTTTTTCTGATAATTTGATATGTAGGCCTCATCACGTAGACCAAGTGTCATTGTTCACAAAATTCTTGCTTGCTCAATTTCCGATACACAGGGCTTCCACGTCGGAATCTCCGTATCATATCTAGTAGATCTAATACTAAATAGAACAACACAAAATGGTGTCAAGTAGGTTGATTCTGCACTTCCCATGCAACAGTATCATCAGTTCATAAAGGGTTATGTTCGGCACTGAAAATACATCTGGAACTGTGAACGATAATGTCGATGCACTTGTACGACGGGTCTGTTGTAAATATTTCTACATAATTGTTGTAAGTGCAAATGCATGGGGAAATCAATGATGTGTGAAATAGGTAGTACAATCACCGGGGTTGGAAGGGTTACAAATATACTAACGCCGAAACCCTGAGATATACTTGCCCCCACCCCCTACAACCTCCAACTTTTAACCCCGACAAAATTTTTCTGGAACGTCAAAAAAATGAGTTTGATCGATCTTTATTTTTGCACCTAGCTTCGCCATTGACAGTAAAATTACATCAAAATCCGAGAGCTACTTTCCAAGCTAGGACCTAAATCGTGAAAAAGAAATATGCATATATTGACAGCTTTTCGATTATTCAGTGCAAAATTTATATGCAATTTTGTAGATAACAAAAATTTATAGCGAAAGCACGTGAACCCCAAAAGCATAGGCTGGTGTGTCAAAGTATTTCATAAAAAAACTACCTGTGGGAAAATAAAGAATTCAAACTTGATTTTTTCAAGTTTTAGGTCAATGTAACATCTGGAACTTATCATGTAGTTGTCCATCCGATAAAACCACAAAATTCTTGAAGAATTACTCTACTGACCTTCAAATTACAATATCAATAAAATGCCAAATAATACATTTGCTGTCAGGGCAGCCAAAACGTTAGCAAAGTAATTTTTCCAATATATGTGGCTTTATTTGTTAACCAGCACAATATAACGATGAAAAAAATTTAACGTGGTCTTGCATTGATCACACCTCAAGAAAAGCCCCTCTCTTTCAAATATGTGTCATACTTACAATTTGATATCACGATCACAGTCACCATTGAAGAAGTGTTGGAAAATTCATATATCCGGAGTTCATTTGGACCATTTTGATAATTTTCAGAAAAAAAAAGGTGTTAATAAAACTAATCATTCTTTTTGACATGGTATTTTTTTGCAGTGATGTCATTATTTGTCTCCATTTCTATGGATTATGCTAAAAGATACATTGTTTAACATCCATGAGGGATCTCTGTACAATTTGGGAAGACAAATAAAATAACTCCAAGATTAAGACACTTACATAACTTTTGTATAGTCGACCTTTCAGACCTCTTTATTGTGAGAACGCATCATTTGCTTGGTTGTCAATGAGTCAAGCCTCTTATGGAAGATCGAATATACATCTGCCACTAAGTATGCTAAGTAGAAAAAGCGAACTTTATTTTTTATCATGATGAGTGTTTATAAAAACTGTCGAAAAGTTTTTTAATATGCAAAATACGAACACAACTTTCTGTCAATGAAAGATTGACAATCCACTTCTTAGAAAGCAGACTTCTGGTACAATAGACGTTAGAATTCTTAATTAAAATCGTTTAAAACAAAGCGGTATTCGTATTTTCCTTACTTGACCTCTTAATAGTGCCTGCACAAGGGTTTGTAACAATAACGTCTTTAACCAGAAATAATCTTATGGTACCAAACAGACCTGCAGTTTTTTATTCTAACAAATGCATCTCAATGATTGCTCCAGTAACTTCGAGAGAAAATATAAGCTATGTAGCTTCGGAAAACAAGTTGGATGTGTGCACAAAAACGAACATGAAAAACATCCTTCCCAGCTATAATAAAATAAGTTCAAAATTTTAACAAATAGTGAATAACTTTTTTTATATACCGAAGCAGCCGCGCAGGCAGAAGCCAAAATGCCGGAACACCGCGGCTGCTATGATGACCCCAAAGAAATTTTGTTATTCCGATTTTTGAACTTCCCAAGGTTAGTAGAACTGAGAAAAGCTTCCTCTTGTAGATTGTTCCACAATCTCGACACCCTCGGGACCAAGGAGCGGTCGTACCGGCCAGTTCTGGATGTACGAAGTTCGACACGGTTAGGATGGGAGGTCCGCCGGCGCGAAAAGGTTCCGAGCCTGTCTGTTAGAGAAGAGTCATCGATCAATCGGACAGCCCTCCTCTGGACAGCATCGAGCATAAATAATGTAGTCGGGGCGGCAGCACCTCAAACGTGAGAGCAATATTCGAGGCTAGGCCTTATCTGGGTCTTGTTTAGAGTGAGAAGGTCATGCGGGGAAAAGTACTTCTTAGCCCTAATTAAATAGCCTAGCTTTTTCCCAGCAGCTGCCGTTATGTGCCGAGATGTGTTCGTGCCAGATCAGGTCCTCGGTGATCTGGACTCCGACCAGCAGAAATTAATGGCTCTTTGGCAGAACTCGGCCATCCATCGAAACCGGATGAGAGCTAGGACGCTTTTTGTTCGTCAAAGTACAGTACTGTGTTTTGGAAGCATTAAACTGTACAAGATTGTTGCGTCCCCAAGCAGTGATAACCTCCAGGTCTCTCGTAAGAGAGAAAATCGCCTCTAGTCTTCTTTTTTTCCAGCTCAGCGGCAGAGATCGGCTTGTCACTCTGAATTCCTGCAGGTAGAGTGCTGTCATCAGCGAAGCTGTGGATTGGGTTGGTCGTGCAGCAAAGGACATCGTTGATACGTAGAAGGAACTGTGTCGGAGCCAAGACCGATCCCCGGGGAACACCCGCGTTGACGTTGTGGAATGAAGAGGAGAACCCGTCAATTACGACGGAGATCTTACGGCCAGAGATAAAGTCAGCCACCCATCTGCAATGCTTTTCTGAGAGGCCATAGGATGGAAGTTTGCTGGAGAGGGCGGCATGCCATAGCTGATCGAACGCCTTCGTGATGTAGAGAGCAACGACATGAGCCGCACCATAAGACTGGATGAGTTAAGCTAGGAGGTCCCCCTAGCTAATCAACGTTCGAGGAAGTCCAGAAGCTCGAGATTTATGCACCTCTCCATCACCTTACTTATAACAGAAAACAGAGCTGTAGGCCTGTAGTTGTAGGGGTCTGTCTTAGATCCCTTTTTGGAATGGGTTGTACATGAGCAAATTTCCAGTTTTCTGGAAAGGTGCCGGATTCACAAGATATCTGGAAGAGACGCGAAAGAACTGGAGCAAGCTCCGCTACACACCTCTTCAGTACAATGGCAGGAAGGAAGTGAATATAAAAAAATCGCAAATCAAAATAGTATCGAATGATTGATAACTAAATGATAACTAGAATATATATAGAAAAATAATGTTTACCTATGTAAAATCTAAAACTGGGTATGAATAGAGTTCGTTAGTGGAACTTTTTAAACTTATTGTTACACGCCCTTCACATTTTGCAAGGTATCACAATCAAAAGTATATTTTCGCACATATCTGATCATAAAATGCCCCTTTTCAAAATATGTTGTTCTTTCGTTCATTGAAATACTGATTCATATTCTGCTTATATATCACAGGCAGGAGAAATAAATGAATTTATTTTAAAATGCTGATGAATTTAAAAAACCAAAATGTTTGGCATATTTATAAATAACCCTTCAGATCTTAAGGTGAAAAATCTCAAAAATGTACACAAGGAAATAAATAATGACCTACCTAGATGTCTAGTTTGAATATATTTTACATAATCTAGTTACTCCCCTACCCTGGACACTTCACATTGATTAACTATCTATATCTCTTATACTTTATCTCAAATAAATTATTATATTAACAAATTAATATGTACAGATATTATAAATTGAAGTTATTTCAGTAAAAAATGTAATGTCACTTTCACTATAACAGGGGACTAGAGAATCCGAAAAAAAATTTGAAGTACTCAGATAACTTTATGTAGAAAATTTGCCGGATAATGCTTTGTGCTGAATTCTTATCAACATATAAAATGAACAATGAAAAATGTCACGAAAAAAATTAATGATATTCAAAATCACTGGGATAAAAGGTAACGGTGAGTTTTTTGCATTATAAACGCAAGTACAATCTCAATTCATAATTTCAGCAGAACTTGCACTGTTTTTTTAATTCCGTTTTGATATAATCACTAGACGGCAAAATAAAATAACCAACTAAATCTATGGATTTGATTGAAAATACGATATGGAATATGAAAAATAGTATCAAAATATAAAGCATACAAAACAAGAAGAATGAACTGAATCAGGACGTAAGCTTGGATAAAATAATCTTATTAGCAACAGACTACATTAAATGACTAAAGAAGACTGGTTTAGATAATCTTGTCTTGCTTTTTTATTGGTTAATTCAAAATTCGAATTCTATAAAAAAGAAAACAGCAAAAATGTTAATTTCAGAGTAATTATAAAAATAAATTTTATCTGCGTATTTCAAACAAACCTGCTGCAGATTGTACCCGCTCAGTAAAGGATTTTTAAGTGATCGTGAAAGCTCCGTCTCAAGCAATGGCAATAATTGAGACTTTTGTCAACCCTAACATCATCCGATTCATTTCCTACAAACTTTTGAAAACACTATCAGTTCACGACTAAGTTTATTTTTAATATACATTTTGTTGGCAAGTATCTCTATGCTTTGATAAAGATTTCGGTATGCTGAATCCAAACTATGACTCATGTAAGTATTTACCTTAGTTCGTAATCTCAGCAGAAGCCTGTTTATTTTCTGGTTAATGTAACTCCTGAAACTTATCTACCGTTGTGGAGAAAATGTCGTACAATAAGAGAAATTAAAGCATATATGTGGTTTGATTCTGTTTGAACATAACTTAGAACTAGATAACAACGTAAAATACACCAACTTTAGATACATTTCCATAGAAAAGGCAGGTCCTAAATATCGTGAGACTGGGATTACTGAAGACAAGTTCGTCATCTTGATCCGATTTTTGATCTGCTGAAGATTAATCAAACTGAGGGAAGCTCCTACTAGCACACATTCTCAACTCAGCAGTGGTTACC